AATAGAAGCAAATACCATTGAATGATGATGCATGGAGGGGATTGTAATCAATGAAACAATGAGTATAAAACTGATGTTCTCCCATCTAAACTATCACTCAGTTCACAATAAAATCTTAAAAACAAAATGATATGCATTTATTAGATAGATAGGTAAAGTAGTTACATAAATTGTGGGGCTAGTTACAAAAGAAAACAGTGGTTCCTTGTGAAGAAAACAAAAAATCAACATCAAGATAGAAAAACAGAGAATTAATCTCAATATGAACCCACCTCAGGATACAGACACTACTCAACTGCAAGGGCAGATACTCATGAAGATCACCCTGACCTACTGCCATCAAGTAGATTATGACTCATAGTGAACTTGTGTTGAATTTCCAAGGCTGTAAATCTTTACAGGACCAGAAAGACTCATCTTTCTCCTGTGGAGCAGCTGGTAGATTCAAATGGCTAAGTTTGTAGTGACAGTCCTATACATTTATTACATTTAGTTTTGTTTTTAAAAATCACAAAGGATTTGTAGGGATTCATGATTTGTTTTGTGCTTTGTGACTTGAGGAATTTTGTAAAGTATGTTTTCTTCCTTGAGAAGGGTTTATCACATTGGACTTTTCCATGAACTGCAAATATTCTCTCCTTTGAGCAGTTTGTGCTTACAACTTAATGCATTAATTTCCTGAGATATATTTGACCTCAATAAATCCTCATGTGGAAAGAAAATTATTTGAAAATGTGCACTACTATGTGTGGCATGTGCACCTCTTTTTGCATATTCACATGCAGAAGAAAACAAAATTACTGATAAACCCACAGAATAATCACAGCAACATCTCAGACATTGATCCATAGAGAGACATGCTTTACAGCAGAAGTGACTCACGGTTCCCAGTGACAATGATTCCCTGTATCAGGGTCTTGGCCTTTGCTTGGCTGAAGATGTAGGAACAGAATTTGTCTACTTGCACCAAGAAATTATGATCTAGCAGCTCGTCTGGTACTTCTTCAATGTGGGCCAAATTATTTTTGTCATTTGTAGGACGATCGAAGACAAAGCACTTCCGTCTTGGGAAGAAATGTCTGATACATTCTCTAGGCCGGTTGAAATATTCAATTCTGGGATTTCCACCTGTTTCAGGAAAGAGAGCAATCATTACAGGCACAACATTCAGGAAAGGGATCTGGTTGGAATTTTGATGGTTGGAATATCTCTCTACAGAAGTAGAAAGCGAGAAATCATTGAAGGAACAGCATTCAGAAAAAGGATCTGTCAAGTTTTCTTTTCAGAGATCTTTGCATCATGCAGTCTCCATGTTTAAGTCTCTTTTTACCGAATCATTAAATTAGCTTTGAACCAACAACAACAACAACAAAAAAGATCCATTTGTGGACTATTCAAGGAAAATGTTCTAGACAGGAATTGACTAATCATTCTCAATTGAATAAACTTATGTGAGGTTTCCTCATCCTATGTATGAAGTTTAGTAAAGTAAGTATTTAACCATTTTTTATCGAATGATATATGAAAAGAAATGGTCAGATGTATTTTTCTGATCATAATAGTCTCATGACAGAAATAATTTCTTTTCTTCAAAAGAAATAAAATGAGAACTTAAAAACAATATAATACTTTATAGAAAAGATGGTGTTGGTTAAAAAAGCATGAGATAAGGTGATACTCAGGTCAATAAAGAAAAAATAAGAACCTCAAAATAGGGATTCTTTTAGCAAAGACAATTACACCCAGCATAAATAGTTTAAGAATTCTGTTATGAAAGATCCCCACTGAGTATAATTAACCTAAATGCAATTATGAGACATCATCACTTGTCTACATCATATTATATTGGACACGACTGTGCCTTGCAGAGAGAGTCTATGGTAGATACCCATTGTTTAGTAAGTGTTTGTTAAAGAAATTAATACATCAAAATGTATATTCCTTCCAACGCTGTCAGTTAGCCATCCCTAAAATAAAATCCATAATAAAAACTCCTAATATTAAAATGATAACATATTATGTAAGGATGTGGAATAATGTATGTGATGTTATGAATAAGATAAAGGATTTGACGACCTCCTCAAACAAATACTTCAGTGTTTTATTCTGGACCCTTTAGTATACAATAAAATCTAAATGAGCCATAACCAATGTAAGGCAGAGAACTATCAGAGAAGGAAAATTCAAATAGTTTTCTCTAAAACAAGCAATAGAAAAGTAGTAAGAATAAATTTTGTCAAAAGCAAAAAACCTACAAGACTCATAAAAGCAAGGTAGTTTCATCTAGCTTTGAATCTCATAGCTTTCACTGTATAAATGTCATTTTTCTGAGGGAATTAAATATCCAGGATAGTAAAGTATATTGTTGCACACCATTAAGGTGATTTAAGAACTGCCCCCCCAAGCCACCAAGACTCCTTTAGTAAAATACATGAGAAATGCTTTTAAAATTATATCATATGATTTCATTATTCTGTGTTTAATAACTTCCAGTTTCATGGACTCTTTTTCCTCAGGGCTTTAAGAAGCTGTAATAATGATTGCAATCTGATTTATTTATTTTTTTTCATAGTGCCAATTGTACAGTAATCAACTGCTCCAACATGGGGTCCTAAATTTCCTCTGAGAGGTCAAACTCCAGCTACTGGATACTTTCAGGTAATAATAGCCCAGAACAATTGTATTCTCCTCACAACCATGTTCCTGGGACTCAGTCTAGTCTCAAGTATATATTGACTTCATTAGATGAATGACATGGTTCAGTTGATATCACTTCCTGCTGACCTATCTACCACCTAAGCCATGATACCTGGAATCAGCTTCAAGGCATTCTCCAGGTACTCATCTTCAGTGATAGTGTGTTCATCTACCTTCAGCTCCAACGTGAAATCCCGAACAGTCCAAACAAAGTCTGGAAAGAAACTCACAAATTCGGTGGAGTCTTCTATTTCATCTGATTCAGAGGGGGATTTTGCCCTGATTAGCTCTGTCAGTTCAGTCACATAGCTGGGAACTTAGCTAAGGAAGAAGTACTAGACACGGCAATGGCAAGATGTTACTTAGAAATAAATTTCATAAACATTCCATTTTACCCACTGTTCCCTCCTCCTGACTTTTGGGACAACTGAGTCAGATGAGGAAGGAAATAGTCTTGGTTTCCATTCCCATAAAGCTTAGTAAACCTGGTGGTTGGGTTCCTGAAAGGATACTGCAGCTGTTCCAGGGCCTGGTTGTTGATGGTGGACATGCTGTTGTAGACAAAGGTGCTGCTCAGAAGCACAGCCAGCGCAAAGATCCATGAGTCATTCTTAGGGTCACCCTAGAAAGTGCATTAGAACAAGAGACTCAGGAGTCTGTTCTCCATTCATTTATTTGTTTGAACATTCACAGTCCCAACTGACTAAGGGACAAAGTAAATTCTGAAAATAATGCTAACTTCAAACTTATTTTGTATTTGCATTGACCTCTTTCAAGGCTTCCTTAGGTTTTAAACTTAGTGAATGTACTGTCAATGTGAGTAAAGTGTTTTATAGATTATATCATAGTAGCTTCTCAGTGGTGGTGTCTGTAGTTGTGTGCCGTTCAGCTGGTTCTGATTCATAGCAACCCTGTATAGGGTTTCCAAGGCTATAAACTTTTATAGGAGCAGAAAATCTTGTGGCTACCATCCCAGCTACTATGCTACCAGGGCTCCTTAATTGTTCAGTAGAAGGAGGAAAGTAATAGCTGTAGTATTTTCAGTTTTGACAAAGTAATACCTATAGTATCTTCAGTTTTGATTAAGGGTAAAAATAACCAACTCCAACCCGTCATTGTCAAGTACTGATAGTGACCCCATAGGACAGAGAAGGTTTCAATGATAGTGACCCCATAGTCAGAGACCCCATTTCAACTGATAGTGACCCCATAGGACAGAGAAGTTTTCCTAGGCAGACTGCCACACCTTTCTCCCAACTGAGCAGCTGGTAGGTTTGACCCATTAAACGTCTGGTCAGTTAGTGAAGCCTTTAACAATTGTGCTGACAGGGCTTCTTAGGGCAAAATGTTATTCCATTAAATTAAACAAGTATTCATTGCTGTTGCTAGTCTTGTGAGGTGCCATCAAGTTGATTCAGATTCACAGGAACCCTAAGAACAATAAAATAAAACACTGCCCTGTCCTACGCCTTCCTCACAATTGTTATTATGTTTGAGACCATTGTTGATGCCACTGTCAATCTATCTTGCTGGGTCTTCCTCTTTTATACCAACACTCCACTTTACAAAACATGATGTCCTCCTCCAGGAGGACATGAAAAATTGTCCACAGTAGGAAAAGTGAAGTTTGGCCATCCTTATTTATAAAGAGCATTCTGGCTGTACTTATTCCTACATCAATTTGTTTATTCTTCTGGCAGTCCATGATACTATCAATATTCTTTGCAAAATTCGCATGCATCAATTCTTCTAAGGTCTTCCTAATTCATTTTCCAAATTTTTCATGTGTATGAGGCTATTGAAAATATCATGGCTTTGATCAGGCAAACTTTTGCCTTCAAACTGTCATCTTTGTTCTTGAACACTTTAAGATGTCTTTTGCAGGAGATTTACCAAATGCAATACGTCATTTGTTTTCTTCACTGCTGTTTCCACACATTATTATTGTGGATCCAAGCAAAAAGAATTATTTAATCACTTCAATGTTTTCTCCATTTACCAAGATATTATTTGTTGGACCAGTTGTGAGGATTTTGAAAAAATGTTTTCATTGAGGCACAATCCATACTGAAGCTGTAGTCGTTGATCTTCAACAGTAAGTATTTAAATCCTTTTCCCTTCCAATAAGCAATATTGTGTCATATGCATATCATAGGTTGTTATGATATGAGTCTTCCTCCAATCCTGATGCTATATTCTCCTTCACATAATCCAGCTTCTTGGATTACTTGCTCAGCATACAAATTGAATAAACAAGGGGAAATGATACAATCCTGGTACACTCTTTTCATGATTTTAAACCATTCAGTATTCTCTTTCTCTGTATGAACAACTGCGTGTTGATCTATGTATGGGCTCCTCACAAACACAGTTTATTACCCTACAGTACCTATTTTTTGAACTGTTGTCCATAGTTTGCTATGATCCACACAGTAGAATGTCTTTTTATAATCAATAAAGCATAGCTAAACATCTTTCTAGGATTCTCTATTTTCAGCAAAGATCCATCTAACATCAGCAATAATCTCCTTTGTCCCATGCCCTCTTCTGAATGCAACCTGTATTTCTGGTAGTTCCCTGTCACTGTATTACTGCAACTGTTTTTTTAATTCTCTTAAAGCAGACTTTTCATTACATGTGATATTAATGATATTGTCAGAAGATTTCCTCGTTCTGTTGGGTCAGCTTTCTTAGAAATGTGTACAAATACTGATTTCTTCCAATCAGTTGGCCAGCTAGTTGTATTCCAAATTTCTTGGTGTAAATCAGTGAATGCCTTAAAAGCTACACCAGTTTGTTGAAACATTTCAATTTGTATCCTGTCAATTCCTGGAGTTTAGTTTTTGTCTGTGCCTTCACAGTGCAGCATGGATTTCTTTCTTCAATACCATCAGTTTAAGCTGCCATTTGAAATGACTGAATATCAGCTAATTCTTTTTGGTACAGTGACTTCATGTTTTCCTTCCATCTTCTTTTGATGCTTCCTGCATCATTCAATATTTTGCCCATATTATTTTTGTGAAGTGCCATAGAGTTTGAGTCACCAACATTGTGATTGAAAACAACCTTGTGATCCAGTGCTTAGCCTACAGAGCCACACCAGGATTCCAAAAATTTGAGTAATAGTGGAGGTACTAATTATTTTTACTTGAGGCAGAAAGATATTTTCCTATCATAGACAACATTTTACTTCAAGAGAGATCTTGAAATACTGTTTTTGTCTATGAATGTTATACCATTCCTCTTCAATTTCTCATTCGTTACATAATAAATATATTTTTTCTACTCAAAATGACCAATGCCAGGCCACTTTATCTCACTAATGCCTAGGAAATAAATCTTTAAGGGTTCAGTTCATTTTTGATGACTTTCAATTTTCCAAAATTCTTATTTCATACACTCCATGTTCTGAATAATTGTGGATGTTGCAGCTATGTCTCTCATTTCGAGTCCTGCCATATCAGTAAATGAATGCCCCCAAAACTTTGCTCCATTCATGTCATGAAATTTTACTCTACCTTAAGAAGATAACACTCCCCCAGTCATATCTTGAGTGCCTTCCATTCTGAGAGTCTCCCCTCTCAGCACTATGTCTGACAATGGTTCACTACTTACTATTCATAATATTTTCAATAGCTAACTATTGAGAAGTGTTCCACTACTCTTTCCTTCTCTGTCGTAGTCTGGAAGCCTTAAGACTGTCTTAATCTGGAACCTGTCCACCATGGGTGACCCCACTGATATTTAAAATACTACTGACATAGCTTCTAGCATCACATTAACATACAAGTATGTGGACAAGTAAGTAGCAGTATTCATTGTTGTCATTGCATGCTATCAAGTCAAGTCGGTTCTGACTCCTAGTGACCCTATATAGGCTTTCCAAGAAGCAGATGATGATTTTGAACTGCCAACCTTGTGGTTCAAACCGAACTTGTGGCCTATTGCTTATCCTACAGCAACACACCAGGATTCCAGTGGGTTGTATGAACACAAAATCCCATATGGTTGTTCATAATGTCATGAAGATATCTTTTTGGAGAAGCAGATAAACATGTAAGCATACATACAGTCAATATTATAATCATGAGTGGCTAAACAGATATAATGTAAAAGAAAAAGTACTTATTGCAATAAATAGGAACAAGTGCTTAGTAGACTCAGAGCAAGGGGTGACTATGTTTGACTGGCATAAGATACTAGTAGATAGATTTTTAAGAATTGATAGAGTATGAACTTTTATTCATAATGGGATCACAGAGGCACAGGCATCAAAACCAACACAAATTAAGTCAGAAATGTTAGAAACCATGGTTCATTTAGAGATATTCTAACTTACACCATTTGAATGAAGAAAGGCAGAGTTGGGCTATAATGGAAGCTGAGTCAGGAAAGGCCATTCAGAGTAACCACTCCCATATTTGTTGGTACTATTTTTGCAGTAATATAAACCAAAGATCTACTTTTAATTTTGACTCATGGTAATGAATAAGAGTAATTAAATAAGTGGAATTATTCATTCAACCTGTTATAAAGACAAATTGCCTAAAACTTCTCATTAATTACATTTTCAATTAATCATGTTCATGATTCTTTGCAGAAGAATTTGTCTCTAAAGACCAGAGACTTTCACCAAAACCTATATGAATATTCCTAGAGTAGTTGGAACTTTGCTGAAGGCCATTTAAACAGATAACTTCACTGAACCCTAATTTCATGGCTCATACCTCTAACCTCATCATCATTAGGTTCTTAAGATGCATGCTATTGATTCCACAGAACATAAATTCTCTAACCTATAGTTATAGGTTAGATACTCACTTGCACGTATCCATGACAACTGATTCTGACCATATTTTATACCTGTTGAATCCCCAATCAGGTTTGGTCTTTACTTTGTTCCTACAACACTTAGCACAGAGCCCTGAATTTCAACAGCTCAAAAAGTTTTACTTTTTATTCACCCCAGTTTAAAAAAAAAAAAAAAAAAGTCAATCCCTTATAAACTAGTACCATCTGAGCTTACAAAAGAATTAAGACCAGTAAACAAAATTTGACCTCATATCCCTAATTATAAGGAGCTTTGGTAGCATAGTGGTTAGGAATCAGGCTGCGAACCGCAAGATCAGCAGTTCAAAACTACCAGCTGTTCCGTAGGGAGAAAGATGAGGCTTTCCACTCCCGTAAAGATTTACATCCTTGGAAACCCTATGCAGGGTTGTTATGAGTCAGAGCCGACTCCACGGCACACAACAACAACAAAATCATTAATTATATTATGAAAATATGTCACAAACATTAAATTAATATAGCAAATTAAAAGATAAACAGAGAATTAAGCAAAGATGATTTTCCCCTGACTCCATGCCTTACCTTTTCCACATCACCCAGGCCTTCTGTGTCCAAAAGGACCAGGGTGTGATTGGGTTTGGATGGATGAGGTACACACCACATCCAGATGCCCTTTGTTTCAGACCTCACTGTGGAGCCCAGATGGAAACCTGCAAGGAAAAGGAGAAAAAAATCAGTGACAGAAAATAGTCCAAGCTGACCAAAAGCTGCAATGATTAAACTTATAGGATGGCAAGTGGCTGACAGGGAGAGGACTTGCTTCCATTTCAGGAAGAAGAGCCAATCAAACCTTTATATATACTAAGTTCATTTTCAAGAAACTTTGTGTCTGATACTCACCTTATTTCTTTAAAGAATCAAACCACATCAAATTATAAAATTAATGGAGACTATATTAAGCTGTATATTTTTATCTGATGCTAAAAAGGAAAGAAAAATGAGAAAATTAGAGAGAGTCTGAGAAGAGAGCTCTATCTTTCTGGTTTATCACCATCTACAGTCTCCTTTTTCTTATTTGGGTCTCAGGTTAAGAGAAAACCAGCATCTGTATGTTGGAGAACAAGTTCCAGTCTCTTTTGACATCCACTTGATCTTTTCTATCTTTCTTGTCTTCTAAATAACTTTTTGTTTTCTTCTAGTATGAGTTTCATATTTTGGTCTTTGGTCATTAGTGTCTAATTCATCAAATCTGTTCTTGAGATGATTTTCTAAATTCAGGTTGGATATACTCAAGGGTGTGTTTTGACTCTTGTGGACTTATTTTAACTTTCTTCAGCATCATCCTGAACTTGTATATGATCAATTGATGGTCTCTTCTACAGTCTGCCTCTTGCCTTGTTGTATGATGATATGGAACTCTTCCACTGTCTCTTTCCACAAAAGTGGTCAATTTGGTTTCTGTGTATTCCACCTGGTGAGTTCCATGTATAGTGTCATCTTTTATGTTGTTTAAAAAAGGTATTTGCAATGAAGAAATGATTGTTCTTGCAAAATTCTATCGTGCGATCTCCAGCATCATTTTTACCACGAAGGCCATATTTTCCAAATACAGATCCTTCCTGTTTGCTTCCAACCTTGCATTCCAATCACTAGTAATTGTCAATACATCTTGATTTCAGGTTTGATCAGTTTTAGACTGAAAAAGTTGACAGAATTCTTCTATTTCATCATCACTGGCTTTAGTGGTTATTTTGTAAATTTGAATAATAGTGGTATTAACTGGTCTTCCTTGTAGGCATAAGGATATTGTTCTATCATAGGCAGTGCTGTATTTCAAAACAAATATTAATGTGTTCTCTTTGAACATAGAGAGAAAGAATTTTGAGTGCTAAGCCCAGGATACAGTGGATATTATATTCTGTTACAGAGTACAGAATTATAATAAATATCTGCCATTTATTATAATTCCTTCAAGTAAGACCAGAAATGGTCATGATGAAATACTTAGGAGAGTATGATTCAGCATGGCTGAGTCCATTCAATTATAACACCCTTGTTTTCTTCAAAGCCTGGATTGGTCTGCACTTTTATAAACCCATAGACCATTGTTCTAATATCAATTCTAACTCAGAAACTCTATAGGACAGATTAGAACTGTCTCAGTGGTTTCCAAGGCCATAATATTTATGGAACTAAAGAGTCGCATCTTTCTCCCATGGATCTGCTGGTAGTTTCCAACCATATGGGTTATATTACTCGTTGTCCTCACACTGTTTTACAGCATGTAAAATGTCAATCTTTGCTAAATAGCATACAGTAAGTCCAAAGACGGAAGACCAGAAGAGTGTGGGATAACATCAAGAACATCATATGTAAAGAAAGCAAAAAGTCATTAAGAAGACTTAATGAAAGAAAGAAGAAAAAGATCAAAATGGTTGTCAGAACAGACTCTGAAACTTGCTCTCCAGCGTAGTGATGCTAAAGCAAATGGAAGAAATGAGGAGGTAAAAAAGCTCAACAGAAAATTTCAAAGATCACCTAAAGAAGATAAAGCCAAATATTATAATAAAATGTGCAAAGATCTGGAATCAGAAAACCAAAAAGGAAAAACACACTCAGCATTTTTCAAGCTGGGGGGAACTGAAGAAAAAATTCAAGCCTTGACTTTTGTTATTGAGAGATACTCTGTGCGAATTATTGAATGATGCAGAATGCATCAAGAGAAGATGGAAGTCATACACAAAGTCACTGTACCAAAAGGAAATGGTTAAGGTTCAACCATTTCAAAAGCTAGCATATGATCAAGAGCTGATGATATTTAGGGAGGAAGTCCAAGGTGCATTGAAGTAATTGGCAAAGAACAAGGCGCCAGGAATAGATGGAATAAAAATTGAAATCTTTCAAGAAAGTGAGGTGGCACTTACTCATCTCTGCCAAGTAATTTGGAAGACAACTATCTGGCTGACTGATTGGAAGAGATCCATATTTGTTCCCATTCCAAAGAGAGGTGACCCAATGGAATGTGGAAATCTTCGGACAATCTCTTTGATTTCTCAAGCGAGAAAAGTTTTGCTAAAGGTTATACAGAAACGGCTACAA